CCCCCCCCCCCGGAGAAAATGGAGGCAGCGCTGATGAAGGCGCCTAGCCTGGTGTGGTAAGTGGTGGCCCGGCGGGCCTTTGCCCCCTAAGCGGGGCAGGGCTGGGGGTCACTCACAAAGCTCCTAGAGCTGGGCCGGTCCCGCCCCTTCCTCTCAGTCTCTGTGTCGCCGCTGCTGTCTTTCCTGGCCTTTGTTGCTTTGGGCTGCTCGGTCTCCCGGCGCGGTTGGGGCACTCTCAGGAATCTTCTTTTGCATCGGCCCTAAAACCTCGAGACTGTAGTTGCTTTTTTTCGTTGTAGATTAGTTGATCAGTGATTAATTTGTTTTTTGTTGCTCTTGGAAATGCAAATAGTACTCTGGCAGCACAGCGTACACTTCTCAGGCTCGCTCTGTCCTCTCGCACGCTCGCTCCAGACCCATCGCCATCTTGCTCCTCCTCAGAAAAGCCCAAATTCTTTTTTAAATATATGCTTCATAGTGTATTAACATAATAGTGTATAACTTGTAAATAAATATACATATATTGTAAGTATATGCCCAAGCATTTTTTACTTAGGAAGGTATGTGATCAGAAGTTTCCGAGAGCACCTCTAGAAGAAGTAGGAAAAGAGCCACTGGAGAAATAGGGCTTGTTAGGGAATTTCACAGCTGAGCTCTCTTCTTCCTCCTGGTATTTCTTGTGATAGTGTAAAGTTAGTTAAGGTGCTATTCTTTGTGCCTGCTGTGGCACATTCCCCTTTTACTTAGCTAATATTGTGAATTTCACAAAGCATGGAAGCAAAAGCTGAGGCCAGCTTCTTTGACAGGCTTTTCTCTGAAGCTCTTGACTTGTACATTTCCTACTCCTGCCACCCTGAACTTAAATGTTTTCTCTGGCTATTATTGGGACAGCCTATCTTTTGGCAAAGTTGAATTTTTTGGGATATTTGTCCATAATTAAATTTTTTGTTGTGTGGCATTGATGAGCTTTTGCACCATCAGTATGTCTTTATATACCATATCCTTCAGAAATTTTTCGGTTTTGGGGGTTTTTTTTGATGGTAAGCTTTTCTACTTCCTAGCACAGCTATGTGTGGGTTTTTTTCCTTATTTTTAATGTTTTATGTGTATCATATCAGTGAAATTTTTCGAGAGGGAAAGTAAACTGAAGGGTTCAGTTTGCTGTCTTGAAACTAAAACCCTGGAATGTTTTAAGATTATTTAAAAAAAAAAACTGAAGAATCATTATCATTTAAGAACTGATGTTGAATATTTCTTGCAAAGCTTTTAAAGTATTAATGAACTCTCACCTTTCCTAGCTCATTTCCTTCATTTTATTTTAAATATAAATTTTTTTTTTACACATGCTCTTTTTTAGTGTGGGCATAGTCCTGGGTGTGTATCTTAGCTCCACCACTTTACTTACTCTAATTTATTCTAATTAGCCATTAGCCTACCAATGGCTAATCTTTCTATGAGATGATATGGACGTTGAGATGAGTAAAACAATAATCTCTGACGTTAAGTGTTACACAGTCAAAGAGAGTAAATAGACACACTACTAATAACACAGTTAGTTATGATAAGAGTAAATGTTCTAATAGCAATATAGATAAAATATTATGGGAACATCAGAGGTAAAACAATAATCTCTGACGTTAAGTGTTACACAGTCAAAGAGAGTAAATAGACACACTACTAATAACACAGTTATGATAAGAGTAAATGTTCTAATAGCAATATAGATAAAATATTATGGGAACATCAGAGAACAAGTGATTAATTTTATCTAGATGATAGGAGAGCTTTATTCACAGAAGACATGTTAGTTGAGCTAGGCCTTGAAAAGTAAATTATTCAAAAGTTGGTAAAAGCACAGAAGAAATGTTCTAGGCAGAGGAAATACCATGAGCAAAGGTGTAGAAGGGTAAAACTTATGCCATGTTCCAAGAATGGTTTCCTGCTCGGTTGAAGGGAGACATAAAATATATCAGACTCTTTTCTTATCACCAAAATGTTATTTTCCCTAAATACCGGTAAGATATTTGGGGGGCTAAATTGAAATAGGAACATAGGATTATTATATTTATTTCCCAGACTATTCTTATTTGTTGAGGTCTTGATGGGCAATAAGAAGGAGAAGGATATGAAAAAGTGGATCAAGTAAGGTTTGAAGTAACACTACAAAATTAAATATAGAAAATCTGAATTTAAGTTTTCAGAGATGTTCCTTTATTTTGTTAAATTTAGGAAAGACCTCTTATATGGCAAAGAAATATACCTTTATGTGTATAGTTTTGTTCTTTTGCAGTGTAGTGTCATGCAGTTATAATGTAAATGTTGAACTGAAATTGAGGTTTTTTTGTTTTGTTTTGTTTTTTTAGGTGGTGAAAACAGTTGGTTTGCGTGAGGTTTGGTTTTTTGGGCTGCAGTATGTAGACAGCAAAGGTTATTCCACGTGGCTTAAACTAAATAAAAAGGTAAAATACGTATGATAACATTAAGCTAATAATTAATTTGAAGGTCTCATGAATTTGTTCCACAAAAACTAAGGGTCTGACTGACTCGAAGCCTTCTTTTGCACTTATCTTGTTAATCATTGAAGTGACATGTCTTTTATTTCACTTAAGTACCATCAACTTATCATCTTAGAAAAAAGAAACACTTTTCTTATTTGAAAACTTAGCATACAAGAAATATTATTTTAAAGTAGGCATTATATATAGTTTTACTAAATACTTTGACTTTGATTTATACATCTGCATAATAAGCCTCTCAAGAATATCAACAGAAGTTTTTATTTGGTTATTAAGATTTGTGAGTAAAAGTCCACATTTGAGAGCATAGAATCTTTTTTCTCTCATATATTTGTTTACAGATTTAGAATCTTACTTATAGATTTAGAATCTTCTATTTCACTTACCACTTTCTTCCAAAAACAATATAATGTGACTAGGTTTAATGATTATGAACTTAAGATTTTTGTTTATTATACTTGAAATTACTATTCCAGGTGACCCAGCAAGATGTTAAAAAAGAGAATCCCTTACAGTTCAAGTTTAGAGCAAAATTCTTTCCTGAAGATGTTTCTGAGGAGTTAATTCAAGAAATTACCCAGAGACTTTTCTTCTTACAAGTTAAAGAAGCCATCTTAAATGATGAGATCTATTGCCCACCAGAAACTGCAGTTCTTTTGGCTTCCTATGCTGTCCAAGCCAAGTATGGAGACTATAATAAAGAGATTCATAAAACGGGCTACCTGGCTAATGATAGACTCCTACCCCAGCGGTAAGTGAAACATACCTTTTTGTTATATTCTCTGAAAATTATATTCTAGAAGTTTGTAAATAAAATAAATTTTTTTTTGAGATTTTAAGTTGCCAGCTGGGTCAAAGTATACTTTTAAAAATCATGACCTAGCAGCTACATAGATTTATATGCTCTATATATCTATTACCTAAAGTTGATCTACCTCTTCTCTCCTCATTCCCATAGGAAAGGCAATAAATGGAGGCAGTGATAATTTGGGCTTGAGGGAAGGATATGACTGTTGTTGCTTAGTAAATTTTTAACCCAGGCAGATAGGTGCTTAATAAATGCTTTTTGAGAATAAGTGGCAGGCCATGTTTCCTCCATAGAATTAAGTTTCTAAATTTTTAAAAAGACTTTTTAAACTAGATGTCAAACTCTTAGGCTAGTGCTCTGTTCTTACCTGCAGTATACTGCTGCCCCTATAACATTTACTTTAAAATATCATGGCATAGGAAAAAAATTATTAGAAGACCTAGATTTTGAGTACTAATTCTACCTGTTGCTAGTTATATGACCTTAGATGCATAACCTAAAATCTCTGAGTCCCAATATCTAAACCTGCAGAGTGGGGATGATAATTCTATTCTGCCTACCTTCCAGTTTATGATTACAATTCATGGACTGTATGATTTATATTTTTAACTGTGAGGTGTGATATAGTATTATTTGGTAGTATTTTTGAAATCTAGGAAATGCAGCATTAAGCATTACTTTTAAATATCTCAGTTCTTAATTTTGGTAACACACATGTCCCTGATATTAGAAAGTACATTGAGATCTTTCTTTTCGAACATGGAGAAGAGGTTATTACTGTTCTTAGTCCAAATTCCTCAATTTTAAAGTTCTATTTAAATGCAAAACTATATATTATTAACTTAAGATTTCAGTTTTGCACCGTTTCCTTCCAGTATTGAAGCTCTTAGTGTAGTTTCTTTTTCATAGTTACTAAATATGAAGAAAGGCAAAACTACCTCATGTCCAGTCTTATTAATTTCCTTTGTTTATAAGACATTGTTTATTTTTGACTAGTAACTTTATTATCTATTGATATATGCTTTATAAGGTACCACTAAATATAATAAAATTTGATTATTAAATGTTATAATATTCTGCCCTTTTATATAGCAATAATAGTTATCTTAGGAGAAGGTGGGATAATGCATGTTGTTCACCAAGAGACAGGAATATGAGATATTTGTTAGTCTATCGGATTTTGATTATTCCAACCCAGAGTTCTTTGTCTCAGATTTTTTAAGCACTTAATTTAATTGAGTAAAACTAGTACAGTAGAATTTCATTTCAGATAAGGATTAGTTTTTACTTTTATAAGCACTTAATTGAGTAAAACTAGTACAGTAGAATTTCATTTCAGATAAGGATTAGTTTTTACTTTTAATTGAGATATAATTTATATACATTAAAATGCACAGCACATTAGGTTTTGAGTCAGTATGTACAGTAAATCTTTATAATCGAAATTATCTTTAAAATGTCTTAAATGTTCATAACAGAATAAGCATGCTTTATCTCAGCAAGAACAACATAGATAGTTGTTCTTTCAGTGTCAAATCAGATTGCTGTTTGGTTGAGCACCAGATGACGTAATTGACTTACATTTAAGAGTTATGTGATTTCTGGGCCGGCCCGGTGGCGCACTGGATAAGTGCGCCACTTGGGAAGCGCGGCAGCGCTCCCG